TAGCTCAAGCACAAAATGTAGCAATGTCCAATGTGTCGGACAACCCTTTTCAACACCATACACAGTCTCCTTCAATGCTTTTGTCACCCTTTCCAAATTTTCTAGACCTTTCAGACTCTTTAGTAAAATCTCTGGTCTAAGGGCTCGAATCATGTCCTCCAAATCATCTTTATCCCCGACACGTGCTCCACCATCATTATTGGCACCACCTTCATCGTTACCATCCCAACCACCAACATCACAACCTTGTTCATTGCCAAACTCAGGATCCATTCGTACATCAAGCTCTGCTGAATATTGGGACAGGGATTCTAGGGTTTCATCGTCGTATTCCTCCTCATCCTCATCGTTAACAATAACCGTTTCACCATGATGAATCCACACTATATAGTCCTCAACAAATCCTCGCATAATCAAATGTCATCTGATGATAGTCACATCTGTCCATGCCATATGGTTCTTGCAATCTTTATAGGGACAAATAATTGTATCCTTATTCTCTGTCAACGTCGTTGCATGCTTCTTTGCGACTTTAATAAATTTATCCACCTCTTCACGGAAACCTGCCTTGAACCTTAACGAACCATACATCCAAGAGTTCCTGTACTCTATCTTTTACAACAACAACAAAATAAACATTAAAGGACTACTTATTCATATATATATATATATGAATCAAATTAATTATTACTTGAGAATAATTGTATATACTTCAGATATATATGAATATAAATCAAATATAATTACATGAAGCATACAAACACACTATGGTAGAGGAAAATTAATTAATGGCCCATTTATCCATAAATAATTAAAATACATATTTGTTGATTACAATAAACAATTTCAAAGACAACAATTAGCAACAATTATATTTTATCCAATATCTTTCATGCAAACCCTAGTCCAATTTCATCAAACATAAATTTACAAAAACAAAATTAATAAAAAAACCAAACCCTAGATCTAGATCTACATGCACATGAAACATCCATAAAACTAACTAATTGTTCACTAAAATCAAGAAACATGGACCAAATAAGGGTATGATCTTGTTCCCCTACCGAATTTATCCAAGTACATTCAAAACTTGGGTCTAATTTGCTTCATAAGTAGCTCAAGCACCATAGAAGAGAGAGAAAAGTAAAACTCTAATTACTCACTAATCAACCATTAAAACTTCAAAAAAAGTGTGGAATAACATTTTCTTACCTTCTACAACCTCTCCATCAAAGGATTTGAGACCAAAACCTTCCCCCCTTAGTAGAGCAATTTTTGGGAGGTGCCCAAGGCCTCCCCACCTTTCTTTCATGGGTTGGAGTGAGTGACCCGAGGAGAAAGAATGTGCTGCAGTTTGTTTTATATGTGGGTCATTTGTAGGGGCGGCTGGTGATTGAGCCACCCCTACAAATCGTCAGGTATTTATACGCGGGGCATTTGTAGGGGCGGCTCAATCACCAGCCGCCCCTACAAATAGCAACACCGGGGGCGGCTGGTGAGTGAGCCGCCCCTACAAATCCAACCCATTTGTAGGGGCGGCTCGTATCACCAGCCACCCCTGCTGTTCCATTTGTAGGGGCGGCTAGTGTCGTGGCTCCCGAGCACGCCACTGTAGGGGCGGCTCCATCACCAACCGCCCCTACAAAGAATTTTTCCCGTTGCTACAAACCGTTTTTCACGTAGTGTACACCATTGGTGAGCAAGGGAGAGTTCAAGCTAATTGAAAGATTAATGACTCCAATAGTGATTAGGTAGTAGAAAGTGTACATCCACTAGTGTCATTAAGCTTGGTTAGGTCAAGTGAGAGTTTGTGCTTGTTAATCTGGGTGATCGGCATCACCTAGACGGCTTGGTAGTGATTGGGAGCGCGGTGATCTCTTCGTGGAGCTTGTGAGAGACCCAACTCATATTGTGAGTGGTTGTCGGTGAATCAGCCCGTAGAGAGCACTTGGTCCTTGCGCAAATCAAAAGGGAGCTATACCCTTGCCTTGGTGACCAAGGAGGATTAGTGGAGAGTGGTGACTCTCCAAATCTTAGGAAAACATTGTTGTGTTCTTAACGCTCTCTTTACTTACATTTGTGCAATTATTTTCATGTCTTTACATTCTTAGTATTGCTGTGCTAGTACAAGGTTGGAACTAGAGGGAAAAACTTTGTGTGTAGGCTAGAAACACAATCTTGGCACAAAGGGGTGAATTGGGCTAAGTGATAGGTTTTAATTTTGTGAGAATTTTAGATTGGCCCAATTCACCCTCTGCTCTTGGGCATCTTGATCCATTTAGGAATATAGTCGTTAGGGCTGTCCGGTGTAGCACTCCGATGCTCACCGGACAAGTCCAGTGCATCCGCAGCCTATGTGTAATGGGGGTAACAGTTGGATTTCTTGGTGGGCTTATAAATAGCCCTTGTGGCCGGCCTTGGCCACTCTCATGGCACTCCTAGCACATGTGTACATCCTTTGAGAGCTGAGCAACACACTCCACTCACTTGCTTCACTTTGATTCACTAGTGTAAAATAGAGTCTTGTAGGGCTTATTATTGTACTAATCACCTTTGCTCTAGTGTTTGTGAAGTTTGTGGGAAAGTTTTTATAGGCTATTCAAACCCCTCCACCATGTAGCCATCTATATCCTTTCAGGCAGGCAGCCCAGCGGTGGTGGCGGGTTATGGGTGGTGAGCGAGGTGGCGGAATGTCGCCAAGCAGGTGGCAGGAGATATCTTGTTGGACGTAGTTGGTGGTGAGAGCGAGAAGTTGCTGGTGAGGTGCCTGATGGAGATTAGGGAAGTGCAAAGAAGATCCGACGAGGGTGGTGCAGCGGATGGTGAGGTCGCCGGTGGCTCAGGCGGTGGTCTAGGTGGTGAAGGGAGAAGAAAGATGGGTGTGGGAGAGAGAAGGACGACAATGGGTTTGAAGAAGACCGAGAAAAAGAAATCATGCGCCGCTAACCTTCCCTACGCGCTGATTAGGTGCCTGGTACCAAATCAAGCAGAATTTTACACTCACGTCTAGTGGTCTGGTGTTGATGGCTACTACGTGCTGGTTTTCCCCCCTACGTTTACTGTTTTCTTTGGTTTTTTAAAAGATGAAACTTGCTTTGTACGAGAGTGACAGCTGTCTTAAATCTAACTCACCGCTCATATTACGAAATGTTGAAATTACCCTGAGCTTCACAACGTGTCAGATATTTCGTCCTTGCCCCTTGATGGCGCCATGCATGGTGGCACATTGCAAGTACAACTGTTTCTTTTTTTCCATGGAAAAAGAGCAAATGCACGGATGATTAGTTTCATATATGTGTCAATGAAAATCCACCTAAATATCAAAATTCAGAAGATTACATCATGAAAGTGATAAGTTGCATTTTTCAAACTGACCAGATCAAACAAGTATGGTCAGATTCGTACGGAACATAGTTAAAGTGGGCGGTACAATTTGAAATTAAAAAGACAAGTTTTGCATAACAAAGTGTAAATACAAATACAACGCCATTTAAAAAGGCAAGATAGATAAGAGAAGAAACTAGGAGAACACACCAAGATCACCACCTCCGCTGTCTTATTTGTTGTTCTGTTTATAAAAGAAAAAAAATCCGGTGGTCAGCACCATGAGTCGGTACAGGCTTTGCGTCCATGAAATGCATCCCAGTGGACATACCATGGCATATCTATCCATTATGTTTCTTGTAAGTAGCAAATCGAAAATGGTATGTCTCTAGGGCAGGTGCCTGAAATTTTGCAAACCCATCAGTCGTCTTCTACATCCAGCTCCGCCAGCCCTCTTGACTGTCTTCCTCCTCGATCATCTTCCTCCCCACGCCCCTCTGCCCTTGCCCCCTCCTCCTCGTCCTTGTGCCCCACCCCCGTCTGCCCCACCAGCAGCCGCACTCTCCTCCACTACAAGAAATCTTATGATCTATGACGACCTGTTATCATCATTATTTCTAGTATTTTTGTCATAGCAGATGTATTTATGACGACTACATGACGATAAACCATTTGTGCATATTTTTTCATCATAATTTTTTATGACCACCCAATTAAAAAGTCGTCACTAAATATCTTAAGGCCTAGCTAGGCCCATGTACTAAACAGGTTTTTATTGGACCAAATATAATTGTGAGCCAAATTTATAATTTCCAAAGCCCATTTATATAAGTAAAATTAACATCAATTTCTGGGCCAACTTTTTTTGCGGCCTATTTATTTAGTGGGCCAGAAAAGGCCTAGCCCATTTAAACATGTAGAGAAAACAATCTTTTCATCATCCATACATAATCAGCTCATTTCAACTTCCATTTCATAACAGCCCATTTCGACATCCATTACATAACAGCTCATTTCGGCATCCATTATATAACAGCCCATATATAATATGTACATTCATCAATCAAAGCCCTTATGCATTCATCAAATCATCCAGAATCTCATTCACATATATAATCCGTAGATGCATCACAACCCATACACATTCATCGATCATCCAGATCTCATTCCAAAGGATAGATAAATATGGTCCCATCCATCAGTAATTTTACAAATCCCAGATAACATATTTCCACATAGCAAAAAGACAACACTAACAAGATACATAGCAGAAATTAATATGGTCTGAACCAGATCAAACATGCCTCAAAATAACAACACTACCAATGTTTGTAGCATAATCTGAACTAGATCAGCCAAGTCTCATGTAATAGCACTACCAAATGTTTGTAGCATAAAATAATATGGTCTGAGTAGCCAAGTTCTAAAATCAGACGTCCAACCATATGCATCTGCAAACTTACAGAGTTAAAGGAATGGCCTTACTCTTTGCTGAACATGCGACGAAAGAAAGCATTCGTCTCGTCTTGTGCCTTCTTCAACTCATCTTGTGCCTTCTTCAACTTCTCTGTCTCTTCTAACAGCCTGCGTCTTTCATTTTCTGATACCTCCACCTTCTTCTTCAAAGTCTCCATCTCATCCTTTAGTTCTTCTTTATCTTGCTTTCTAGCTGCAACTTATGTTTCAAGTTCTATAACCCGTGCATCATTAATGGCTTTGGAGCTTCTCTTGGGGGCTGCTAGCTGAAGGCCAATATTTTGAAGAAATTTTGATTTGGGCAACACTTGAGCAACAATTTTAGCAGGGGTCTTTGAAACTTGGCCGTCTTCTACAGGTGCAGCAGCGATGGATTCCATTTCAGCCTAAAACATCAACATATCAGTAAGACAGTTTTGAAATTAATTACCGACTAGTATATTTAAAACCAACAGAAAGGTGGTCATAATTGATAGTAGTGTTGCTCAAATAAGTGAATGCAGGCTTCGTAAAACAGATGTACAATCAAGGTTCACATTAAAGTCCATTTAAAGCACGAAAACATTTTTCCAACTGAATATTTTACCATAATTGAGCATGACACAGATGACTTTCCCCGATTCAATATAGTGAGATCATTTATGCTATAAACTATTACACTACAGTTTGGGATGATGACTCATTATAGTACAGGTTGGAAATTTAGGAATATTTCTGTTTTGGCAGTGTCTACAAGTTTACATGTGCTATTAAGAGGGTTTCTGGACAGCAGTGACATCATGCAGTACAATCTTGCCAGATTAGCATGAATAAGCTGCTGCTACACATGCAACAATTGATCATTGTTCCTTGGAATAGCAGGAAGCATGTACAAGTTGCTGCTACACATGAACAGGAAGTTGCTGCTACATAAGAACAAGTTGTTGTTCTGTGTCTCACAAGTAACAGCAGAAAGCATGTACACATTACAGACTCAACTAAAACCAGTAACATTTGTTCAGATCTATATATAGTTCAAAATGGAGCTTGTACTTACAATAGCTTCCTTTGCAGACTCATTAAACCCAGTCTTGCTGCTGTAATGTAGCGCCTTGAAAAGATCTATCGCACTGGGTGGTTCATCTTTATATTTCTCTTGCTTCTAAAATTATTCACAAACATTTTGTAGGTGTAAGATTATAAGAATAATTGTTCAATGATGAATGATTGTAACACAATGTTTCCATATTTTACCAATGCGTGGGTTGTCGCAATATAGTACCGAGATCCTGTCATCTGATGAAACCTTACTTTCTCACGGTTAAGTGCATTTTTTGCACACTTGTCCTATGAGGAACAATTTAGTAAGCAGGGAAGAATGGCTATAAAGAGAGATAAAAATTAGTTGAATTTGAAACCAGATTTGCTAAGATATTCAACAAACATCAACACTCTTTAAGTGTAGTTGAATTTATGTCCACAACAAGTTATTAACCTAAAACAGTTTGAAAAACAGAAAGTAATCACAGCCAAAGATTGTGCCATATTCTGGAAGACCAACTGCAACACAACCCTATATGTTGTCGCTAAAATATAATGAGCAACAGTTGTATTGAGTGCAGCCCAATAGGCTCATTACTATCTAATGAGCACACAATTATCAGGGTAACAAGCCAAGCAACTTCAGGTATAATTGTAAGGATGGCCTACTGTATACAGTCCAATATAGCATAGCTACAGAATCTTAGACACAATCAAATTGGTGTACAATACGAAGAAATAAACTCAAACATGCAACAAACCAATGCAAGAAAAATAAATGGCTTAAGAAAGCAATTGACCAACATGCCTTGTGCTTTGGGCTTGACCACATCTCCACCAGCTCTCTCCATTGATCATCAGTCATACTCTTCAATGGTAATGTTGTTCTAACTTTGTCTGCTGGTACACCATTGAAGTAAAGCTTCTTCAAATTGTACCTCATTTGCCATGTTCCAGTCCTGAGCAAATTAGCACATGCCTCTTCGACTGGCTTGCTGTCAGTATCAATTGCTAATTGATTCTAGTCGACAGCATGTCAAGAGCATGTGCATCAGAAAATAGGTGTTAGAAGTATATAATGTGATAGAAAATTTTTAACATTAACCTAACAGGAAACTTTAGAAAATCACAATGCAACAGCATGCAAGAGCACAAGGTTCTAAATTGGCAGTCAATAGAAAAGTAGCAGAGACAAAATGTTTATGGAAGGTTCTAAATTTTCAGAATATGGTGAGAAATAGAGAACATACTTTCTTGCTTTCCGCTTCATTTCAGTTTACTATATATTGGCAGTGGCACTCAAAATAAACAAACATGCCAAACATTTCAAGTAGATAATACTACAGATAAACTTTATGGTGGTGCTTACAGCTGATGTAAGTTAAACGGATCATTACAACATTAGTCGGAATAAAAGAACATGTAAAGATTGAGGCAGAAAAATATATTGGCAGTCCTAGCATAATGTTAACAGTTAAGCTCCTTGTCATATGCTACTGGAGGCAGAAAAATATTACTCATATATAGGAGTAAACATAGATCATGCACACCCGATAAAAACCGAACATATAGCCTTTATCCACTTACAGAAATTTTGCCCATGTAGCCTGGAAGAATATCCTTGTTCTTGATATCCTTGTACTCCTTCCAGTGTGTAAAGATTGGGATATGTTGCCTCAGTATAATCCCCCTCTCTGATGCCAACTTTGCAGCTTGCATAGGCGGCTTAGGTCGTTTCTTCCCTTCAGCAATGACCACTGGAATCCTAGTGTTTAAGCCTCGGCTTATGCGATCCAAGTCTCTGCCCATGCTTTTTCCTTTATTCCATCGATCTACAGTGTGATTTGATTGACCTGGAAATAAGTGGCATTGTTAAATAGCTAGTGCAAATCATTTTAATATGCAAATGTGTGAACCATATTCTTGGAGAAAGGAGTATTTGCTTTCTTGCCTTCTTTGCGCATTTCTGTATCATGGTCAGTTTGGTTAAGACAATTGGCAATAGTCAATGCATCTTCTTGTATAGTTGTAGTTGTAGCATGGACGCCTTCCTCGCTTCGAATCAGTTCCTTGGTCCTCTGCCTAGTCACTCTAGGAGGTTGATTTTGGCCTTGTTCATCAGGTGCTCGCACTCTCTTTGAACCTCTTGCTCCTCCATTAGCAACGATGGTGTCGCAAGGCACATTCTGTGAAACCTGCATAACCTCATATGCATAACACAAGAAAACAGAAATCAAGATTAATCTTTTTTGCATACTGAACTAGAGTCATACAAAGAACCTGAGTTCAACAAATACCTTATCAACTACACCCTCTTCACTGCCATCACTATCTCCAGGGTCATACAATGAACCAAAGTTTTCACGAGCCATAGCCTTCTTAGCTGCAGTGGTGTTGTTTAAAATGTCCTTTGTTGCATTAATACCAAGGGACTGAAACACGTTTGTTCCTCATGATTGTTTCAGCCCTTACTCTTTCACATTCAGTGGCTGGCGACTCTGTGAATGCAGGAAAACGGATCAACGTCAATAGCCTCATCAAAGATATATTGAGTCAGAGATAAATAAAGAAAAACACTGGCATAGACGTGAACACTTCTCTAGTCTGGTGGCTAAGGCTACTGATTCATGTCTGAGAGGTCCGAAGTTTGAATCTCCGTTGTGGTGTTTTGTTTTGCATTTTGCGAATAAGGTTGGGGCAGATTCGTTTGGTTCTTTGGTTGTCGATTTCGTTTTGGAATTTATCAACCGGTGTTTTGCAACCCGGCGTTTGTTTGGTGCGTGCCAGCAGTCTTCCTCCTCGGTGCCTACGTCATGAATGGTGTTTTGGTAGAGTATTATACGCAGAATTTCTGTCCAAGTGGCGGTAAAGATTTACCGCGATTTCTATTGAAAGAAAAAAAAAACAAAGAGATGGCCTAGTGATTTTTAAGCAAAGCTTAGGGGTACATTTTCAACTCTCTTTAGTCTTCATCATCCTCCTGCAGCGAGAGAAAAAAAAACAAAAACAGCAGCTCCCTTGGAAAGCCTGTTAAATTAACGGCAATCTAGAAGAATCAGACCACATCCTTGAACAGCAGCCTGGCCCGGCGGCCTTGATCCGCTGAGTACCGCATGATAAAACCCGTTCGTTCGTTCGTTCGTTCGTGCGGAAGCAGAAGGAAACCAGCGGATCTCAGCCCACAGCAGCCTGGCCGGGTGGCCGGTTCCTCTTCCTCCTGTGGGCGGCTTTGCGGCTGGCGAATGCTTACATAGAAAACTCTGTTCTGTCCCCTCCCCTGGTTTTATGCCTTTTCCCACCGGTCCGCCACCGCTGAGCAGGCTGGAAATGGGAAACACGCTAGCTGACTTGCGCAGTTGCGCCCTTTTGCCGCAAGCTGCAACTGCAAGGCTATCTGCAGAGCAAGGCACCGCCGTGGATCGGATCGAGAACGCGAGCGCATCACGACCAAAATAATACTCGTACCTACTTATTCCTAAGTGCACGCGTTTGGTGTAGCTGGTGAGCATCGCACGGCGGACAGTGGCAACAGCTAGCATTGCTATCAATCAACGACAATAAGATTGATTGGAAATGAGGTCTGATTCTGGTGCTCCACCAGTCCACCGTGTCCGTTTGTAAAACAAGGTATGCACAGCAACCATGTTAGGGAAGAATTGACATTACATGGCCCGGCCACAATTCAGCAATCCGTTTTTTTTTTCATACACATATTTACATGTTTGTAATAATGTAATAAATAGAAAGAACCGGAAGCGACTATGGCAGAGAATACATCTATATATCCAGTAACTTGCAAATGTTAGCAATCACATGTTGATGTCCTAGTGGTTAAGACTCATGGATGTTAATAATAGGATCTCAGGTTCAAACCTTGCCATTGTCTTAATTTTTTTTTATTTTCTGAATCTTTTACCTCGACCTTAGGAAAAGTATTATACCTTTTTCATATCATATGACGTGAGACGAAGATGATTTTTTGTTTTTTATTTTCTGAAAATAGCATTGCATATAGAGCCCATTAAAATACAACTGACAATGGGACCAAATATCTCATTTATTATATGTAAATAAAAAGTTATAACAAACTAATATTGTCAATATTTTATGACGACCGCAAGGAAGCATTTTATGACGGAACATAGATCATCATAAACAAACTACTTGACGATTTTTATTGTGTCTTAATGATGAACACATTAGTTTCGTCAAAAAGTCATTCTCCTTCTGAAAGTCGTTATAAAACAGAATGACTTATTGACGAATTGACTCATCGTCACAAAAAAATTGTCATAGATCTTCATATTTCTTGTAGTGCTCCTCCTCGTCCTCACCCCCGCCACTACCCACCACCCCGTCACACCACACTAGGGTTTTGCCGGAGCTCTGGCAAAACCCTAGCGCACCTGGGGCGGCCGCCTTCTTCCCCTCCCCCTCCTTCTACAGCGAGCTCCGGCCATGGAGAGCCCCCCCGCTTCGACCTGGCCCAACCGCCTCCACCATCGCCAGACCCTAAACCGCCCTGTGGTCATCCCCAAGGCCTGGTCGGCCTTCCTCCCCCGAACCCCCTCTATGCCGGCCAGAGATGGAGAAAAAGAGAGGGATAATCAAAGAGAGAGAGAGAGGACGCTGAACTTACCTGACGACGGCGAGTTCATCGTCTTCAACGTCGGCGAGGTCTCTCCAGAACCCTAGCCGTGGGCGTGGGCACCGGTCGAGTGCGATCGGGCACAGATGACTAACGCGAATGCAAAACTTTAGTCGCATGCAGAGGAGTATTTCTGAATAGAAAAGGAATATTATGAATGATGAGTGTGAACACTACGTACGCTTGCATCAAATGGGCGGCTGAATGTCAGCAGACAACAAAATAATGCTGATTTTTCTTTCCTTGATTGAGTAACGCATGCATATGGTGGCATGGTCCAAATAAAAACTCCAAATACCTCGTCATCATTAGAAAAAAAAAGAACCGAAGAGGAAAAAAAAACCTCTAGTAAGTATGTACAAAGTAAACTTGGAGGGCCTTCTTCCACAACATGAAGGTGAGCTGATTGAAAAATTGCGTAGACAAGAATATAATCCTCTATGAGCTCTTGCATAGCCTACAATAACAGCACAGCACCATGAAAAAAAAAAGCAAAAACAAGGACAAGAACACCAATTTCAGCATGCACAAATACAGATGCAATCCCCCTCCCCCGGGTCGCAGCAGAGTGACACACTCTGTTTCACCCGGAAGTGAACACAAACACAACAAAGCTTTGCCATGTCCGTTTCCAATCGGCGTGATCGGTCCTCCACGAGCTAGTAGCTAGTAGGCGCAGGCGTGGGCGGCGGTGAGCCTGGGCGACGCCGGGAGCGGGCTGCGCATGGGCGACCTGGGCGGCGGCGGTTGCGCGAGGCGGCGGCCTTCGGCGTCGTAGTAGATGACCCCGGAGAAGTCGAGCGGCTGGCAGCGCTCCCCCATGAGGATCTCCTTCCTCCACACCCCGGGCTCGGCGGCCTCCTTGGTCGCCCCAGACGACGGCGCCAGCGAGGAGGTCTTCTTCCACGGCGCCACGACGGCCAGGGCTCGCGGCGAGCCCTTACCACCACCCCCACCTGCACCGGCGGCCATCCTCCGCGCCGCCCGCTGCAGCCTGGTTAGGAGCGAAGCCACCGCATGCAGGAGTGTCGCGCCCATCCTTTCTTGATCTCCTCTCTTGTGTTGTGGAACTGGAACTGGATGGAAAAGTGGCTCCGCTGGCTTGAGGAGGCAGGCGTTTGGTTTGGCGCCATATATAGTCGAGCCTGAGGTGGGGGTGGACAGGTCAAGGAAGCAGCTGGGAAACGATAGTGAACCGCAAGTGCAAGCGAATGAATCATGCAGTTGTCAACGGCCGGGGCGCGGCGTCTGTGAGTTGTGACGACTGATAAAAAGAGTGACTAGTCGGCTGGAGCTGGATGGATCGGGGAGGTGCAGCGCAGTGGCGGCGGAGGGTGACCCTGACCCTGACCTTCAGCGAGATCGGTTGCGCGTAGTGAACGTGTACCCGAAAACGGATGACCTGCATTATGTCTTCCTCTCGTCTCTGTCAGCGTCACTTACGTCAGGCTCCAGCTGACGCGTAAATTTGGCTCTTTCCACCAGCAAGAAGGCGTCAAAACGGTGTTAACGCAGAAGGCGCCCTGGCTTTCTCAAATCTCAACTCCTTCGTATTACTCGTCCTTTCATCTTCTGGAAATGATGCAACTAGTATATATATAGTCGCAATATCATGCTGCGGCTGCAATTATCTCATTTGCAGCCTTGCAGACAGTTGCAGGTGAGATTGTAATTTCCTGCATGCGTCATCAGAGACCCGATCGTTTTACCTTACAAATTAGTCGTACCAAATCGTTTTATATACCCTCGACAAAGAGAGGAGGAAGCAATTGGAACTGGGCTGTAATTGGTTAAGGCTGGAGTGCTACCTACAACGGAGAACTGACGATGGCTATATATATATATATATATATATATATATATATATATATATATATATATATATATATATATATTTAAGCCTCTCATCTAGGTACTGTTGTAGCATCTGTTCAAGCACGTACGCACGCATCCACACACACCACACTCACACCACACGTGCACGACCAGACTTACAATTATACATATAATAGAAGACCGCGTCCTTCTATAGATCACCGAAACCATCGTAGCTTCGCAGGCGGCGGGAACATCACAGTCCCTTTGTGGCACCACGTGAGACGAGGCTGTAGATTTTAGACCAGACCTACAACTACACACATAATAGAAGACCGCGTCTTTCTAGACCAGACCTACAACTACACACATAATAGAAGACCGCGTCTTTCTAGAGATCACCGAAACTATTGTAGCTTCGCAGGCTGTAGATTTTATTCTGGGAGCTAATTCTGGTGAGAGACGTAGGTCGATTCCAGGATTCGAACCTGCGCCGGATGCGTAGCCACTGCCGCCGCTAGCCACTCAAGCTGAGGCTCGGTCTCTATATCGTTTTACTCGCTGAATCCACGAAGAAAGCTTCAACAAACAAACTACAGTAGTCCATTACTGTTTCGTGTTTATTTGTTTTATTTACGTAAGCAATCTTCAACCGGGTCATTAGATTGCACAGCGGGTAATCTATCACCCGGTTCAAATCTTTACCTTTTGGCAAACAAAAATAATGAAATGATGATAACCACGATAACATAAATCATCAACTAAACAAACATCAGCTTTTGAGACACAGCGACGACTTAAATAGGAGAGGTAACGGGGTGTTGCTAGCTCTCGTTAGTCGCAACCAACAATATAACAAACAGAAAATCACGTGTGATTTTGCTTTCCAGAATCCAGCATGAAAATTTG